CGCCTACAATCTGAAGAAGTACCATGTGTGACCTCCCACTACATCAAAGCTCGAAGATTCAAGAAGCTCGACGGGCACCACCTCACAAGCCGAGGACTATCCAGTTGTTATGCAATTCCTACCTTATAACTAAGTTCTCGTTCGTTTCACTCGTTTTTCAATGAGGAATTTAGAAGTAATCACAACTTGGCTCGACTGCATGCTTACAACAACTGATCACTCTTGCACTTCAAAAGAAGATTGTACCTTTCTTAGGGATTCATCACAGGAATTGAGCCCCTTGAGGGACCAACCATGCTCTCCAGTGCGAGAGGGTAAACTAATTGCTGTGTAGTGCGAGAGGGTAAACCAATTCCCTGACACCCACATTAGTCAGCTTTCCAAGATGGGAGGATAAACTTTACACTCCGAATATCCAGACATGGATGACCCTAGCTGCCTTAGTATAACTAGATGCACGATGGCTTGCGCCAGGATTCCTAGAAGTAGCCACAATGGTCTTTTTCAAGGCTCAACTAACTGAATGATTTTGGGTCCCTTGGCCTAATCCGTGGAGAACCGGGCCCTAGAGACGAAAGGGGCACATTATGCAATACGCCTTATAGACGGCTGCCCTGAAACCCTAAAGTTGATACCGAGTGTATTAAAGTAGCCTACGGTTTCTGGAAGACTGCCTACGGCTTGCCCTTTGAGCAGTAAATCTGCGTTAGACTTATACAATCGCACATTCTTGTGAAAGGTTAAACAAGCTAGCGCGCATATACAAAGTTTTATCCACTGCCGACATGCTACGTAGTCGATAAGCTTCACCTCTGCCAAGCGCGGAACAACCTACACCAAGTCCTAAAGTGTTGTGATACTTGCTACGCAACCTACGGAATTGGAGAAAGCCAAGGTTAACAGCCTAGTGGTTACGCGGACTTGTCTGCTTCTGTAAGTAAGGCATCTGGGTGCCAACCCTATGGCTAACAACTTGGCAAAGTTTTACACCAACACCTACGGCTGCATAGGCTACGCGAGCTTGTCTGCTTATAACAAAGTAGCATGCCTGCCACTGGTCTATCAAGTCTAAAGGTTAGGGCATGAACAAAAGAAGCGAAGATGAAGAAAAACGAAACAAACATGTTTATAAACAATTAGCAAAGGCTGAATGAGTTCAAGCAAAACAAGAGCTAAAAGGAAAAACAAATAAAATCCTAAAGGCTACATAGAAGACTACAACAACTTGGACATCCCACGACTACTAGGTCGCCACACCTTCAGCAGTCGTGACGCTCTCCCTCGGCTGCCTCAGCCTGGCATTAACTTCTCCAACTACTTCACCAATGGAAGCCTCAAAAGTAAAAGCAAGCATGTCTTCCAAAGAAATAAAGAAGGTCTCGAAACCTTAAGCCCACATTTCTCACCCTTCAGCTGCTCATTCTTCTTAAGCAGACCAACACGGACGCGCTGCAGCTCATCCACTTCCTTCTTCAAACTTTCGTTGATCTTCAGTACACCTTGACGTTCCAACACTTAGGGTTCAAGCCTATCAACGACCTTCTTGAAGTGGATCACTTGATTATAAGCATCAATCGACTCTTCATCCTTTACATAAGCAGTGAAACGAAGCTTAGAAACTGCAAACTCAAGATCTTGAATCTGAGCTGCAGAGAAGTAGGGGCAGAAATATTAGACCCCTTCAAAGCAACAAGCTCATAATCCAACCTCTTGATCTCTTCGATTGAGGAATAAGCTTCAACTACCATAGTATTCGCCACCTCCTTGGCAGCCTTGCTATATATGCATCATAGCAAGCAGAGCAGTCCTTCTATATTGTGTCATATGCTACAAAGGAACTTGGGCAAACAACCTTTCTACCGCCATCAACAAACTTGGCACAAGCGTCTATGTCTTCAAGCAAATATAGTTTCAAAAGCACACAGATCTCAGCAGCCTTCCCAAAAGCAAGCTTAGTGGATTTCTCATAGTTGTCCACGCAAGCATTCTCTTCCTTCCTAGTAGATGAATCAGTCTCAGCAGCAAAGGGAGCGGGCTTTAGCGCCACTTTAGCATCAGAGTCCACCTTAACGCTATTCATAGTAGCAAGCCTCTCCAAAGGTAAACCGGACTTAGCTCCAATCAGACATCTTAGTACAGATTTCGGCACTAGGGGCATGACAGGACCTTTACGCTGAGCAATCGTACTAGCCATTCTCGACATGGCAGGCGCCATAGGCTCAGATCTAGCAGCCTCATTTTTTTCTTCCCATTGGAAGAAGTTATGTCAATCACAAGCATCTCGGCAGCATGAAGACCCTCATGAGCAGCGGAGGAAGTTTTCAATTTTTCTCGACCGATATCTCTTGAGCAGGCGAAAAAAGATCTCTTCTTTCCATCTTCATTCATAGTAGGCTCCACGACATCGATTAGACGAGCCAATGCATCCGCCTTGATTCTCTTTACCTCATTTTTCGGGAGCAGCCCACCTTTCTCTTGACAAAAAGAACTAAGCAATCAACGCCATTCACGGTACTCAGCAGATGAGCTCAACCCAGAATTCTAGTAGGCAGGAGGCCTGCATGCCCAGCATTCCAGCAATCCATGAGGCCCACGACCTTTTCATTTCTTTCAGTTGCCAGCCTGGCCCGAGTAAGGTCCAAAAGCTCAAAGGACATGAGCCATGTGGCTCGCCTAGCACTGCGCCCCAGCGCCACAATCCGCGGCACTAGCCGCACAAGCTGCCATTGGCTCTAGCCAAGCCAAACAGCCAAGTAGTGGCCACGACACCTCCTCGGCCCATGTCGAGCCGACTCCTGGCCCCTGCCAGCCGACGTGCCGTATCACCCCTATAGCTGCCCCGCAATAGCACTATCCAAGAAGAAGACAAAAAAAATTAAATTTTTCTTACATCGGTGCGGCACAGAGAAGACAAAGAAATCAACGAAAGACTGTCATTTGCACGAGCAAGATGTAGTAGATTGCTAGAGAAGGGGGAACAAATATCCTCTAAGCTCTCTCTCTTGTAGGGTAGAATAAATCGCTCTCCAAAGTTGATTTAATAACCCACTTAAGGTGGATTTAAATAGGCATTGAGAGAAATTTATTTCCCTTTCCTAGAAAGACCTAATTTCCTATTAAAGAGAGAATCTACATCAAAATAGGAAGCAGTCCTACGTTTCTTAAAGCAAGATGATCTCTACACCTGTTGCCCTTTCCTACGAGTAGCCCAACAGGTGTGGGGGCATTTTTAGAGCAAAAAATAATCACAAGGTGACACGTGGATTTTTGGACAAAAGAGGATAAATACCCTTGAGGTACAACAGGATTCCTACGCGCGAGTAGCGGGCAATCATCATTCAACCAAATCAAAAGTGCCCAAAATAGGTAACAAATTCAAAGGTATTTCATACATCCTCATCCTATATTTTCCACAAGGTAATTATTTCATAACCTTCAAAACATCCCATATAAATTACATAACCCCCAAAATATTTATTCCAAAAATGTGTTGATTAACCAATTAATGGATTAATTGCCTAATTAATCCATTAAATCACACATTAAACCATAAGTTACACCCTATCCCTATAAATAGGCTCCCATTTTCACCAAAAGATCATTCCAACACACTTGCAAAATTCCCAATACTCTCCAAACACTTCTCTCTAAATTCTAACTTTGGCATCGGAGGTTCTTCGGCCAAAGCCCCCCCCCCCCCCCAATTCATCGTGGGCGCATGAGGCTCTTGGCCTTGACCCTAAGGTGTTAATTATTTTGTAGGTGCAATTTTGTCCAAGATCAAGGAGGAAGAAATTTACATCCACATAGGTGATCAAGTGAACAACCCTATTCATTTTGCAATTAAACTATTTAACCGAAGAGATGCTATAACCTCCTTCTCTTTCCCAACGAATTGTACACACATGATGTGTTTGTTGTACTGGATTAGCTTCAGGGACTAAGTTGGATTGGCTTAGACTAGACTAAGCTAAACTAACTTAGTGAAGTGTTTGGTATAGTGTCGGACTAAATTACGGACTTTTTTTTTTTTTTTTTGCCATTTTTAGTTCACTTTTGCCTTAAAAATTAAATAAAAATTAATAATAAAGGGGGGCAATACCATCCTTTGATTAAGCACTGGGAGATGGGGTCAGTTTGTGGTTTGGAGGTCTAAGCCCTCCGATTTACAAAATCCCCAAATCAAATAATAAAAAATCTCAGCCCTCTCAATTCCAAGACCTAAGCCTCCTGAGAACTTCTCCGATTTTCAAAAAGCCAACCTCTCGATTCGCTTCTCAAAGGTAACTCCAGCGATGGTAGCTTCACAAAGACCTCCACTAACAAGCCGATATTTCTACATGCGGGCTAAAGAATTCAAGTTGAATCAACAACTCTCAAATTGAAAAGTCGTGCAAATTGAACTGACCCAGAAATTAAAAAGCTTCGCATATGATATGCGAGGAAGAGCGGAAAGAAGATGCCACCAAACTATGTAGACGACACAATCAAGGCTGTTGGAGTTATTGAGAAGGTTGAATTTCCGGAACAAGTCAGTCAGAATTGCCGACGATGCAGATAAATTAGTAATTTGAGTAGAGAGCAGTAACTCTGATGCTTAAACTGCGTAGAAAGTGGGAGAAAGCGGAAAAGATGAAGTGAAGACCATTTCTTGTTAGCATCGCTTAATACCAAGGTTATGCTCGGGATTAGATAACACCCTTTAGTGAGGTGCGGAGGGATTACCAGTTGAAGCGAGTCTCATTTAAGTTAATACTTTGTCGCTCCAAACACGGGACTACACGGGACTATAGTCCCAGCTAGTCTTGTCCCTCCTAAGGAGGTCTAACAAACGGGCCCACAGTGCAATCCATAAGAAACATAAAAGAAAAGCTGTTATGCGGGGTTGGTTGGTGTTGCTAATCGACGTTCGCCTACAAATCCTACACTCACCCAACACGTATCAAATGTAATGTGGGATGCATTACAAAGAAGTAGTAAAAGGAATTAACACAAGTAAAGAATGCCGAAAAGCTCCAAAGATTATAATGATAATATAAATAGGACAAGGATACAGCTCGCAAGTAGAAAAATCCAGGACGAAGAACTCGTCCAACAAAACTTCCTCGACTTTTCTGTCGTTGGATCAACACTCGATGCCATCATACAAACGCTAACTGCCATTTCTGTGAAAAGCCTCACAAGAGCTAACAATGAAAAAATTATGCATATAAGAAATATTATGATACCCTTATTATCTACAGATGCCTGCTTCTCCCTCACCCTTTCAACCTCACATCTGCAAAATCAACAACAAATTTTATCAGCTGTCATAACAAGTACTCATCTGCAATAATATATAAATCTTTTCTTTTGGTTGCTTCCACTTGCATATATTTGGTAAAAAACGCAATTGAAAACAAACACAAGGTTGCCTCCCCCTTGTATATAAATTAACTTGCTTCAAAAATAATTATCACACTCAAGACTAATTCACACTGAATATTACTTGACTAATTTAAATTGAATATTACTTGGCTAATTCACATTGAATATTACTTGACTGATACCCGTTGAATATTTACTTCAAACTAAAAGAATTACTGTTTAATGTCTAAAGATATATGCAGATTCAAAACAGAGTTTTCTGAAAACTTTAGAGAAGTGCTATAATGGCAGTCTTGTGGGTTTTATGGGCAGAGCTAAACAAGAGGATTTCTTAGGATGAGCCTGTTGATGAATTGACTGTTTGTGGGATAAGGTTCATTTTTGGGCTTCCTTGTGGGCAATTAGTGCTTTAGAGTTTAAAGAGTATTCCTTTTCTAATATTTTATCAGATTGGAGATCAGGTTTGGTCTTGTTGTATTTCTTTCAGCGTAAGGCTGATTCTGTTTTCTCTTGGTTGTACTGGTGGACTTCTTGTTCATTTTGTGTACTTTTGGCTTTTAAATAAAAACCGTTACTCTGTCAGCTCAACACCGCACGGATTCAGAAAAGAAATATTCAAGAAAAAAAAAATTCTGACCTGAGGATAGCATTGTCCCTGACTAGATTATCCAATTGCATGGTAACTAGGGACTGCCAAGATATAAGATTGTCAACATCTTTAGCCTGCGAGGACAATAAACCATTAGAAAAGTAAAATGCATAATGCTACCAATAAAGAAAGATAATACCAATATTAACAAGAAGCATAATAAATCAAATACTAGTCAAAATTCTACAACGTAGAAGTTTCACATACAATGACTTCCTGGCTGAGAACAAGATTCCTTATGTCTTCTCTGATCTTCTTTAAATCTATATCTTTCTCTCCCAAATCTTTGTCAAATTCTCTGAAAATACTGCCATATTTTGATGTTGATTCCTCCAGGTATCGCTCCAGAACTGATAAACTATAATCTAATGAACGAACTTTCTGCATTAAAATTTTTAGAACAGTGTCCCCAGGCATCCTATTAACTTGTTGATGACGAACTTCTTTGACAGGATCACGCACTTCACTATTCATCGTATTATTATTCACTTCAGACCCTCCAGCTGCATCTTGGGGTTCCAATTCCTTAACCATATCAGGATACAATTCCTCACCCTCAGGGGAGTCCGGGTGGGAGGGCACAGGTTTCTGGTCAACTGCTGCTCCCGAAGTAACAAACGAGCCGCCTTCAACAGAAATCAAATCCTCAAGCATTCGCTCAACAGCATCCACTCCATAGAGTTCAATAATACTAAGCGTGCAGTAGAATTCTGAACCATAATGGCTCAACAGTTTCAACTTAATATATCTCACCCACTTGGGTTGCTGAAGAACAAACCTTTGTACAAGTTTATTATTTGCAGCAGTACCATTCCCAAGAAAGACCCATTCATTAGTTGGATAAGCCAAACTGCCGAGCACCTCAAAATCTTTTAAATTAGATGAATAGTGCTCAAGATTAGCTATTTCAATTGTATCTACTAAGGTTTCTTCGGAAAGCTCTATATCAACAAACTTTTCTTCTGCAGAACATGGATTGCGAAGGTACTTGTCTTTGTCTTTGCCTAAGATATTAGAGGCACCCTTAGCTTCCTTGTTAAAAGCCAAGACCTTGGCTCCCTTTGCGGCTGACGCATAATTGTACTCTGCACCACCAGGCTCCACCCTATGTTTTATGCCTTCAGCCTGACCATTTCCAGATTTACTTTTGGAACTAAATGTTTTGCTTTTGAATTCATCAAGACCAAGAGGCACAGCACGTGGCAAGCGACCATTCTTTAATGCATCATTTTCAAGTTTTGCACCTGAACCAGCATTCACCACCTCAGGTTGCTCACCAACAGCTGAGTCATGAAATATACTTCCTTCAGCTGAGGCATGATGTAGACTTCCTTCAGCTGAGGCATGCTGTCTACTTCCTTCAGCTGAGACATGGTGTTGACTTCTTTCTGTAGCAGATAACTCACCCTTTAAACCACATGTTTCAATCCCATTTGTGCATTCACCTCCAGAAGAGTAGACCAAATCAGTTTCTTTTTGTATATTTACAGAATCATAGTGTTCATCACGGTCCAGCTTAGCTTCGTCCCAAGTTGATATACCAACTGGAGATACAGTAGATCCATCTAAATAAACAGAAAAATAGGAAAAATAGCTCATACGCATGCACATAGTTGACCATTAAAATAGCTCATAAGCATGCACATAGTTGACCATATTTAATATCAAAGTAAGAGCGAAAAACAGTATGATCAATACAAGGCCATAAGAGTCACTCATTTTAATCTTAGCATCGCCAATTATAAAAAATAATGTTCTGGTTTTGTCTCTATAAAATCAACATGGCATTCAGACTATGTCTTAAATATAAAAATTACAAGCAATAATTCTTCAATGAACTCATTTGTCCACACAATGGGTACGGTCCATTATTTATTTTATCACAGAGAATTTCAGCTAAAATTTTATCAGAATATCTCAAAGCTCATTAAAACTGCAATTGCTATCTGCAGAAACCTTCCACAACATTTCCTTGAGCGCAAAAATACTGATGTTAAGCGGGAATGGGTTTCAAACCCAAGCCTTCTTTGTCTTTGTGGAAGAGCAAACGAGCTTAGCTACAATTCCTTTGATTAAAATGGCCATGCGTATTACCTATTTGATAAAAATAAAAATAGACTTGCAACTGAAATTTGCAGACATTGAATTGCAAGTTCCAACTTGTCCAACATAGCACATTTTATTTTTAAACCCAAACTTCCTCACTCTTTCTTCAAATGCAAAACTATTTATATGGGGATTTATCATTTGGAAATTAATCCTCACAAAACTCTTCTCTGCACATAATTTTGAGCCCATAGAACCTCTACTAATTTGACTGGGTCTATGAAATCATGTATTCAATTCAATGTCAAAAACTATTAAACGGTTCCTTTTAACATTGCATGTGCAAAATATATTCAACATAATACATCAGTTTTTTCAACAGCTTTGTTTAAGATGTGCCTTAAAATTTTAAGCAAAGAAGCACCAGAAACTGAAACAGACTTCTCAGTGCATCACAACCAAGATCATAGCTAACTAACTGAACAACCAAAGTAGAAACGTAGCACACAACACAACAACATATTACATTACTATGCTGAATCGTTGATGCCCAAACAAAGGAAAATAGAAAAGAAAGATTGATATGTGCTGTAACTATGAGCTAATTTTCAGGTAAACAAGATTAAGTGAGCATATAGATTCTGCATTATTCTAAGCATCAGAAGTGGTATTGCAACCCAACAAAAAATGTTGATCCACCATATTAGAGCTCCAGAAATCATTTCAAATGCTCAGTAACAGTTTCTAAGAGGAGTCAACAGAAGAACATAAAGAGTATTTAGAAAAGTGGTTACCTTTGTATGCATGTCCACAACTGAACCATAAGCTGAATAGAAAGACAAGTCCCCAGAGGACAAATACGAAAGACAGAGACACCTTATACAAGTGGTTCTTTCCGCTGATCGCTAAAGATCTTCTGTTCAGAAGAGCGCCACGTGATCTCTGCATTGCACATCAATCTAATCTATTGGTAACCGCTAAGAAATAGAGACCAGAGTACCTACACGAAGAAATAAAAAAACTTGACTTCCACTATTTAAAGAGGAAATGGAATTGCATGCATTTAACATCAAGAGGAAATGATGAAGGGGTTATGATGGTTGTAAATCGAAGTCAATGGAGCAATCCGAAATACAGAATGTCGTATAGCTTACAGATTCAGCTACATGCTCCTATGTTTTCAATATGACGCGAATATTCATCTTTAATGGAACAAAATGAAATGTTTTGACTGTAGATTGTAAATGAAGGAAAAAACTTCATTAGTAAAATACCAAACCAAAATCTAAAACGAAAGGAAAAAAAAGATCCAGTTCAATAACAGGAAAAGGGGTACTTTCCAAAAGGGCCAAATTCACCTTAGCAGCCAAGAAAAACTCCTTCTGAATCCTAAAGGAAACACAGTGTTTCAGCAAAGCTCTGTTTTACCAAAAGATGATGGAGAAATAAGTGAACTAACAAAACCCATTTTGACTAAATTAAATTACAAGCCAAAGCAAACCATTTTCCATGGATGCCAGCCTGGTTCTCTTCTGTCTATAAGTTTCAATAGAAATTCTCTCTTCATATAATAACACAATATCCAATTATTTATGCTACCAAGTAATTCCTTATAAAAGAAAAACCCAAAATACAAACAGAATTATACATGTATGCAGATATTAGTCCTATAATTCTTTCAAGCTTCGATAGGGTAACCAAAGATCCGATCCAATTCAAATTTATTCAAGAAAATATTATAAATAAACAAATAAAAAGCAAGAAAGAGCGAATGGCACGCAGATGCAGACCTTCCGGGTTGGTGCAAGCAGTCGGCAATCGTATCGAGATGATGAAAAAAATTAAGAAGAAAACAAAACACAAAATGGGGAAAAGTGAGGGAATTTTGGAGATTAGCGAAAGCAAATCAGGAATTGAAATTCCAAGTCATCGTGCAACAAGTAGAAGAGCGCAAACAGAGAGCGTTAATACGGCTTAGTTTCAGGAGATTGTCCACCGCGCTTTTGCCCTTGCCTTTGCCTTGGGGAGCGTTAAACGTCGTCACCCTTTTTACATACTTCATCGTCCTCATCACTGCGGGTGCTGTGTGTCTCTTTCTCGTTACGATTTTGCTTCTCGATTTGATTTGGCCGAATTGTGCTTCTTCGTAAAACACCTTTTTTAAGTTTTACCCTCTCTCCAAATCAGCCCTCTCTTTTTATCTCATGTTGTTTGCAATCGCACCATTCCTTCTCCCTCTTTTTTTTTTTTTTTTAGTTTTTAGTTTTTTTTTTAATTTTATTTTTCTTATTGTTAATAATTGAATTATTACTTAAGCGTTGATAAACATGTTCATTCCTATTAATGACACATAATTTATTTTACAAATTTTGTTTACGATTTTAGTCTCTCTAGTATTACCATTTTGAACCTTTTTTATTCAAGGTTTACCCTTTGCTTTTCTACTTTCATAACTTGCAAGAGTCATAAATGTAAGAGTCATAGAGCTCGTTTGGATGTGTTTTTAAAATAACTGAAAGCGTTTGGTGAAAATATTTTTGAAACAATCCTTAGTAAAAATGCTAGTATATCCTTGAAAAACATTTAAAGTGCTTCCTGGAAGAAGTACGTAACTGGTGCTTCTTGTAGAAAGTACTTACATTGCTTTTGACATTTTATCTAAGAGTGATTTCTGTCATTTTAAAAGCACATTCAAACCAATCCATAAATGTCGGAGGTTAATTGGTAAGCAACACAAATTTACACAGTTTCAACTAAATGTTATAATACAAATGTTTACGTGTCATAACATATATGAATTTAGCATGTGACAATAGACAATCACGCAATAAACTTCTCAAGCACTCATTCTTATTTATCTTCAAATTAATTACAAAAACAAACCTTTGTGTAAACTGTGATTTGTTTTGGGTAGAGTAATCAGCCATATATTTTTAAGTGTGAATTTACATATAATCAATAAAAAGTTACAATATTAACAATATATCAATAATATTTTAGGTTTTTTATATTAGCACATCACAAAATGTTGAATGCACCCCACATTAAAATTTAATATTAAATAACTTATTTACCCCACTATGCAATGACAATTTTGACCTTATTAGGTTTTAAAAAAAATAAAAAATTTCTAAATACATCCCAAATCACTTTTAGCGTATTATTTATCTTCTCAACTATCAAAACCCTCCCACCCTCCATTTTTGAATAAAACCCTAACCAATGAAACTACAAACATGTTGATTGAGAAAAATTGTTCTTGATTAATGGAACACAAAATCGATGTTTCGGAAGCTTCACATGAAGTAAGACTTCATATTTTTCATTGTTTTAGTGATTTCGATGACATCGATAATTATTTAATCTTGCATTTGCTGCATGAAATCTCCTTACCTTTGTCTGTCCAAGATTTTTTTTCTCCAAATTCTCAGTGTTTGGAAGTAATGGATACCAATGTTTTCCAAGTGCTCCACATTGTAGAAATGAAGTTCGTGAAAGTCAAAACAAAAATTGCGTACCATGAAGTTAAACCTAACAATGAAGCCTTTGTTGATGTTACCCTACCTAGCAAATCATCATTTTGAAATCATTTGGTGAACTAAATGTTTAGATGATTGGAAATGTTTAAGCAAACTAAATGTTCAATTGGTTAGATTCTGACACACCTCGACCCGGAATGTCCACTAGGACTTCGAATCAAGCTGTGCTGGCCAACACCTGGAAGGTGACAAAGCCAAAAAGTGTGATGGTGTGGAAAATTGTGAATAAATTTAAACCTAAGAGTGCCTAAATACCAGAGTGCACTGGGGAGCGGGAATGAACCCATTTCACACGTGATGTTAGAGCATAAGCAAGTACAGAAAAATGATATAAGAATCGTACCCTCGAAATAGATTCCGATACTAAGAATCACCGCGAGCCTTTGGTGATAATAAAACTCAGCTAATAATACCTGGAAGGTGAAGACAAGACAAGGGTGAGTGACAATGTAAGTAAATTACTAATAGAAAACATATAACACATGTAATCCCTCGTTACAACACCTGTACAATTTCCAAGGAAATCATAATGTACCATAACACAGCATCTCAACAATAATATCAAATAATCATGCGATTAATATCTCATAATAGTACGCAAGTCGGAATCACCTCTAGTGACCTATACGACATATTCATATCCCATCACATATCTCATCAATCATGGCTAGCATATAAGTCGGAGTCACCTCTAGTGACCTATACGACATATTCATATCTTATCAATCATGGCTAGCATATAAGTCGGAGTCACCTCTAGTGACTTATACGACATATTCATATCTCATCACATATCTCATCAATCATGGCTAGCATATAAGTCGGAGTCACCTCTAGTGACCTATACGACATATTGATATCTCATCACATATCTCATTGGTTATGGCTAGCATATAATAGTCGAAGTCACCTCTAGTGACCTATACGACATATTGATATCTCATCACATATCTCATCAGTTATGGCTAGTGTTGATGCACAAAATCAGAGATCTTGGTGTTGGAAATATGCCCTGAAAGTCAATCTTTGGAAGAAATCTTTCAGGACAAATAAATGAATGTATGGATGAATCTTATACATCAAAGGCAAAGACACGAATTAGGACTATCTCAATAAACGAAATATGTCCTTAATAGTGTATCCATGGACAATGGATCGATTGAAGAAGTAATCTAATGATGTTAGACTACAGAGACCTTCTTCACATAACCAGATGTCCAAAAGGTTCCTGGTCATTGGATTGTCGGAGGGATACTGACAATGCTTAGACCAGTACATACTATGTCTGCTTCAAATGGAAGGATGGAAAGTCTCATCCCATTCGTGTTGTGACACTAAGACAAGTATGTAGGTGCTCATTAGGGGAATGAGTTCACTGAACACAATCGAACGAGAGTACTTGCATGGAGGTCTACTCACATGTCAAGCAAGTAACTCTAATGGTTGGAATGATGTAAGTAATCCTTAGACCTGAGGCATCGTCGTTGTCTTGTGGTTAAGTACTTAATCTTTGATTATGTCAAAGTCTCCCCATTCGAGGGTGTCCACGGCATGATTGGGGTTAAGCCACTTAGTCATGAAGGCAAGTGTATGCGCAACAAGGAATCTCTAATCCTCGATAAGAGAGGAAGAATACTCTAAGATATGATTCGGGAATCTTCGGCCGAAGTATCGAGCGTATTAAAAGGAAAGCGTTCCTATACGACTCAAATGAATCATATATGAAGGAATAATCACATTAGGGGTTTGACATAATATCCATATCCTAATGATGTGATTGAGAGTATTGTATTAGAGAAGGATCGAATTACATTGTAATTCCAACTGAATAGGTTCTTCGATTAAACTTCTACATTAGCTTGGGTAGCTATGACATATGGTTAGATGTCAATCATAGCTTGTGAGTTCTTCTAGATGATTAAATGTAGCCACCAAAGAAGAATGGTGAATTGAAATGAAGTTTCAATTCAATAAGTGATTGAAATTAATTGGATTGGTTCCGATCACCTCACTGCCTTGCTAATTAGAACCTAAAAGATTGTTCACCGATACACTATTGTAGTGAGTAACTAATGGATGATGGAAATGATTAATTGGATTAATTAATTGTTGTGATTAATTTAGAAAGTCTAAAGAAATCATAAAAGCGATAAAGATCGTTTTGGGCTTAAAGAAATGTTCGGGTTTAATTGGGCCCATTGGGCCTAAACCCATTGGGCTTTTATTCAAGCATTGGATGACTTGAAATTGTAAAAGCCCAAAGCCCAAAAGAACAACAAAGAGGCCGGCCATATAGGTGTGGATTGGGTGAGAGATATTTAGTCAATTTGTTGGCTAGGTTTTCTTTGATATATAAGGGACTTATATTTGATATTTTTCCTTAAGTTATTTTTTTTGGTGTTTAGAACAATAAAAAGAGAAAAGAATATCTCTCCAAAAACTATACAAAGGGCCGGCCACCAAAGAGAGTGTTTTAGCTAACAATCTTTCACTCTTTTGGTTATTCCTTCATCCTTCTCACTATATTTGTGGGTGAGGATCTTTAGAGGTTTCCTACTTTGGAAACTTGAAGAGAACCTAGGAGCACTCATTCTAACAAAGTGGAGGAGGCAAGGAGGGAAGCTAGCATCAAGGATTTCAAGGAGCAAAGAGCTTGGAGGTGGTCCATGCTTGGTCTAAAATCAAGATCAAGAGGTATAAGACTAACCTTCACTTTGTTCTTGATTCTATAAAATGTTTTGATGCATTATATATAAACCTATGAACCTTGAAGGGGATTTGCATGACTAGATCTTTGATATTATATGATAACATGCTTCCGTTGCTCATGTATATGAATTTTGAATTGTATATGCATGCTAGTCATTAAGAAATCCCACATGAATCTCACAGATTTCCCTTCACTTGGAACAACGTAAATCCGACCGTGAATCTGCAAGTAATGTAAATAACACAAGATGTATCGTGGTTCACCCCAAGGTTTGGGCTACGTCCACACTGATTATATATTTCTGAAAGGATTGTGAGGGAGAGAATCTCTGAATATGAGAGGGGATGTGAGAGGGGTGAGAAGGCTTAAGAAATGGCCTCAGAAATAGTCTCCCCTAATTGTGAGGGTGAGGGGTCCTTTTATAGAATAAGGACTCCTCACTTATTACATATTTGCCCCTTCCTTTATTACATAATTACATTTAAGTCCCCCAAATATTTATACGAGGTCTAAATTGTCACAGCCCGTCCCGGGATTTTATTCATCGAGGACGTGAAAAGACGGAATTACCCTTGACGGGTATTAAGGTATGTGTGTATGATATATTATTTGGACTAAATATACATTCCTAAACTTTTGGAGAAAATAATTTAAGTTGGATTAAATTGGATTGTATTTTGTGTGGTTAGGGATTAAAATTAGTATGTATGGTTTTGGTTGGACCACACACCCAGTCAACCCTTCTCTCTCTCTTCCCCGTGCTTCTCTCTCTCTTCCTTTCCGTTCAGTCTCTCTCCCTCACTCTCGAACGTACGGACAAGCTAGGAACCTCCCATTTCTTCACGGATCGAAGGTTCTACGGTAAGATTTGAACTCCTAATAAGCTTGTGAGTTAGTATATGTGATTTTTGGAACTTA